GCTGAGGACAGAACCCTGGGGAGTACCCATGCTCATGGAAAGAGAGGAAGCATGGAAGGAAACAATGGTCAGCAGGAGAAGCAAGAAAGCAGAGTGTGAAGACTGGTAGTGTTCAATGTCAAATGGGGCAGAGTTTAAAGTGGATTAGGCCTCAACTGAATGCTGAGTCTAGCCCTGTACAGGCATTGCAGGGTTTACAACAACATTCATGACCTAAATGCCCCTAGGAACTTATAACAGAGAAAGAAGAAAGACAATATCCAAGTGGACCAGACAACATGACTACAGTATGTTTGTTAAGAGCAGAATACAAGTATAAATAAAATATAAACTATTATGTATTAAAAGCTTCAGTCATCTTCTTTGTTAAAAAAAAAAAAAGTGGAACTTCCTATGTATTCGCAAAAACGAGTACCACTAAAAATCTGGAAATACTGATTATACAGCAATGAAACATGCATCTAAGATCCCTGAACAGTGAGGTGTCAGATGGCTGGCCATCACTAGTAGGAGGGCACAGCTTGCTGCTTTCTAGGGAAATAGTAGTCTTCAGATAATAGCTGGAGGACTCCATTAGGGATTGAGGGGAAGGAACGAATGGACAGAGCTAAGTGCCTGTGGTGAAACAGATCCAATTATGGCCATGACTCCATTTTGCACAGGGCATTCTGACCATCATTAACAGTTCTGGCATTCTAACAGACGGTGCTCAAAATCTGTGCAGACAGTGATCCAGTAAACTTCTCACTAGACAGCTCTGTGAGATCTATCACTGCTCCATTAAGCACCATCTGTGGAAATAGCCCACCTCCCATACAGGCCATGGTGCTGGGACAACTACGTTAGGGAGCTGTCAAGGAGATGTTCCCATTAGCACAGGAAGCGGATCTTTGAGGGGCTGGGCAAGGGGATGAGGGAAAAGCCAAGAAGATGAGCACTAAGGGATTCAATAAACTTATGAGAGCGTCCTCGATGAGGAGTCCTGACGGGCTGAGAAAGGCAGGGAGGCACAGTATGCCTTAATATGGCAGGCCAGTGGTTAGGTCAGGCCTGGGGACTGATTCTAGACTGAAGGTGACGGTGACCAAGGGGCAAACGCTCCAGTTAGACCTTAGGACGCAGGACTGACCGTGGATTCTGGGTGGGAGAGAAGACTCTAAAGAGGAGGGTGGCGTAGTGTGCACTGAGCTATCCCAGGCCGAGGACTGGAAAGGACCCTCTGGTGGCCAGATGAAGGCCCTGCAGCCAATCATCTCAAAGAAAAAAGGACAAGCCCATGGGGACACAGTACATAGCAGAATTCTCTTAAGGGATGATGCTGGAGGAACTGTCATAGCCAATTCTGGCAAATTTGAAATTTCTGGTTAAATGACAGATGAGGAAAAATTGCGTTTAGCCTCAACTCTTTCTGAAAATATTTCTGAAAGGTGACTCGCCTACTTTCCAGCTTTACTGAACAGCATTAAGTCTGCAATGTTTCTGGGTCATCTTGGATTTTAAACACAGAGCAGACCCTTAGCGTTGGATCGATTAAGGATCGCCCTCTGAAGACCTGACTAGGACAGGTTTGGCAAGATTTTTTAAAAACAAAATAAATCCTTGGATGTCTCCTAATCTGTTGTTTTGTCTCCTTCGTAAAAGAACTAAGTAACAAACTCTGCTATAAGTTCTTCCTAAAGCTCTAATTGTATAGGACTCACTCAATTCAGGAAGCACTGATTACAGCACTTGGGTGCCAGGCACTGATGCCAAGTGCCCAAGATTCAGAGGGAAAACCACTCCAGCCTCTGCTCAAGGTATTTAGATTCTTTTGGGGAAAATACTGTGTTCACATAAGTAAATAAAAGTATGAAGAAATCTGACCCAAAAAGCTTCATTGGGAATTAGCACACAAGCTATGCCTGGAAGGAAGCTCAGTATTCTAAGAGGCAGAAGGGAGAAAGGATCCTTATTCTGTAGACAGAGAAGAAAGTCAGAGCCTAGATGAGGCCACGGGAGGTAAGTGACAATTAGTTTCCATTTTAAAAGAAATTTATCTAAAAGCTCTAACCTGGTTAGGATAATTCCTTGGTTAAAATCCAATGCCTGAAACAGTTGTTCCCCTTCTCTAAAAAGTTGTTCTGGAAGATGACAGAGTGAGTGATAGGAATATGATGGCAGCCAAACGGGGTCAAAGGCCCGCCAGGAAAGAGGCCCACAGGCCTGCTTCGTGGGGACAACTTCCACTCGCGGCTCGTCCGGTCTGTGACTGTTCAGCTTCTCCAGGGGTCCACCCCAGGCTCGTGCCCAGCACCACGCCCCTCCCTCACAGACTTGGACGCCCAGAGAGAAACTTACCCACACACATTTTCACATCATTCACAGTGAAGTCCGGGTCTGGCATCCTAGGAAACAAACAGCAGAGTAAGGGCAAAAGGAGCAAAGAAAGCCCCAAGCCTGTGGGGCTCCAGGGATCCACCTCCCACAACATACACGCCCGTCTTTAACCGGAAGATTTACAAGGCTCCTCTCTGAGCCCCTGTGGGACTCTCCACTCAGCAGAACCATGAAGAGACTCAGCTGCCCCAGGAGCACAAGACTGACATTTCTCACCGTATCTATCCATTCTGCCAGCCCACTTACTTTATTCCAAGTCCATCAGAATTCTTGAAAATCAGAGGATCTCTCAAGCCACCCCGCTGGATATACTCTACATTAAAATCTGTCACCAAAGAAAAACAAGCATTAGAAAGACCCAAGTTTCACCTAGAAATTCAAAACTCAATTTTCAGAATACAATCTGTGCAAAAGATTTGGTCGTGGTACAACTATCTCTAACTATCTCCCCTGTCCTCAATATCCAAAAAAAAAAATACAGTTAATTCTGTCCACTATAATAAATACTATTTCACCCCCTCCCCAATTATTTGCCAAAGAGCAAAGCTGAATGGCACATGAAGAGTCTCCCAGATGAACTATGTCAGGGGGATATAAAAGGGCTTTCACTGCACTATTAACCCAACCCAACGAAAGAGAGTCCTTCAGGAAAAGCTCCTTCTTTAGCTGCCCCACGAAAAACTGGCACTAACATCCCTGAGAATGCCTCACTGTGAGAGCCACGACTAGGGAAAAGCACCAAAGGACAGTTCTCAGACTCTGCAGATGGGGCATCTCAACAAACACTTGTTAAGCACCTACTATGCATGCCAACTCATTGGTGGCACGCAGGGGACTTCCCTCACACACCCGGACCTCCTTGGCACCACTCTCTTGGTTCGATAATGAGCTGGCTCTCCTGACCCAAGGCCAACCCCCCCCAACACAACCTCAGCCCACCCTACCTGTCTTCTCTCATAGATCAGCAGTTCCTCAATCATCCTGTCTCTATTTTTCAATCATTCTCCATCCATTGGTTCCTTCCTTATTGTCTTCCAATATACCCAACTCTCCCTCATCCTTACCCTAGACTCCTAGAACGAGCTGTTGATACTGACTGACTTCACTTCCTCTCTTCGTACTTCTCAAACCTTTGCAAGCCAGTTCCCAGCCTCATCACTCAACTGCAAGGCCTTCCTCCGAGGCTACCAATGACCTTTTCATTGACAAATCGAACGACCTTTTCTCAATCCTCATCCTTCTTCATCTCTCTGCAGCCTCTGGGACTTCTGATAACCTCCTTCTTTACTAGGTTTTCATGTCCAAACCTTGCTTCAAGTCTTTGCCCATTCGAATCCATCCTTCCCTCAGCAGCCAACGTGATTTTCCTAAAGAGCAGATCTGACCATGATACCCTCCTTCTCAATAACCTCTGGCTGCTTCGCATTTTCTCCCAAATCACACACTACATCCTCTGATTACCACTTAAACCTCCTCATAACCTGGCCCCTTCCTACATTTCCAGTTCTCTTATTACTTGGGCCCCTCCAAGCATGCTATAATCCAGCTACACTGGCCTAGGCGCTATCTCCCATCTCCACACCTTAGCAATGGCTGTCCACCATCCCTTCCTTACTTCTGTGTCTCAGTTCCCCTGGCTTTCTTTACGACGAGCTCAAATTCCACCTTCTAGAAGAGGTGTTTCCTAGCCTACAACCCTCCTCTTCGTCAGTTGCAAGAGCCCTCCCCTCGCCTCCATGATTACCTTCTACCTACAGCCTACATCTTGTACGTACTAAGTCACTTGCACGTTCTCTCCCTTACGAGATGGTGAGCAACTTAAAGGCCAGACTCTTTTTACCTTTCCCTATATTAGCACAGTGCCTAATGCAGAGCAAATACTCAAATAAATTCTTGTTGACCAACTGGTCTGGTATTCTCTCTGACAACTCCCTCTCAAATCCCCTTTGTTAGAGCCTTATCATACCCCTTCCTTATACCCTCAACCCCCCTAGCTTTCTATCATCTATCAGGAGAAGGCTCCCAGATTTACAGATACGTGTTCCCGGGCTCTCTTCTGAGGTCATACATAGGGCACAACAAACTGTCCCAGGACATCTTAACCTTAACACGTGCAAAACGCAGCTCATTATCTTACCCTCCAGACCACACCTATTTTCTAAACTTCCCTATTGTTGTCAAAGGCATCATTATATTCCCAATGGTCCAGTCTCATAACACCGGCTATGAATAACACACACACACACACACACACACACACACACACAATCTTTCTCTCCAAACACACTGTAAGTTCCTTGAGGGCAAGGACTTTAATTTTTGTTGCTGCATCCCCAGTGTCTAGTACAGTACCTAGCACACAGTGAGCATTTAAAAAATATCTGTCGACTGACTGAAGAGCACCATGCTAGGGGCTAGCTAAGATACAAAGTTTATGTAGATATGGCTTTGACAAGCCAGTGAGGAAAGAGTAAATAATACCAACCTTTTCCTTCCATGAAGGTGACAAAGCTAGCATTGTATTTGTTGGTGTGGAGCTTTTCATCCAGGTCAAAAGTCCTCTTTCCTTCAATTTCATCATCAGAAATGCCATCATCTTCATAGCGTCTCCGCATGGTGCCACGCTGTAAGAATAATGAGGACACGGCACTCATTAGAAGCTGCAATGTGTGGTAACAGCATTATCTAATCGTGCTAGAGCTCTCTCAGCCTGGTTACTAACTGGCAACCACCCACTAATTCTCCTCCTTACGTAGACCGATCCATTCCTTTCTCTGAGTTAGGGCAGACCGTCAGTAACAGAACACATGTGAACTGCTACAATGACGCAGCGAGAGTCTGGCTGACGCCGACTTCCTGGCCTGTCGGACAGGATCACAAAGTTTACGGGAACAGCGACTTTCACAGACCAGGGCTAACCGAGGTTTCACTGGCGGATCTATCAGTGGCAATAGCTGGATTTATGAGTATTTTCAAACAGTATGTTTCCATTCTCATTACTCATAAAAAAAATCCTCTGCCAGTCTTACATGAAAAGCTTCAGGAGCTGTGCAATCCTGAGCACAGGCTCCAGTATCTGCTAGGCAGTTGAGCAGTTGAAACACAGGCCTGGCCAACTCTCAGCCATTCAGACTGGTGGTAATCTTCAAAGCAGGGTGTGGTATACAGGGGGGAAAAAAAAAAAAAGAACTGAGGAGCGCAGCATGGCTGCTCAGCTCACTTAAAGGCTGCCTACCTCTGGGGCTCACATTCCCCCTCTTGTGCCTTGTACAGACTGGACCTGGCCATCGCCCCAAATGGGCGGTCATCCTTTGACCCCTCTTAGGCCCATGTCTCCCTTCCCCCAGTCACCCTTGCAAGCAGCAGCCAAGCTCCTCACTGTTCCCCAACTCATCTTCCCCACCTCCCCCCAGATGCATCAGAAGGCTCAGGCAGGCAGAGAGTGAGCAGACAGAGGAGCTAGCGCAGCAAGAGAGGTGAGATGGGAACTTGGGGCTCTGATCTGCAACCAGGCACCCCCTCCCTCACTCTACTGGACGGTCTAGATACAAATTAAGACATCCGTCTACCACCTGTGAGGTTACGGTCTTCCCAAGCACTCTACCATCTGCCTGGCAGCTGCCTCCCCTCAGCCCCAATCAGAACAGCCACACTTCAGATCTGGAACCTGACTTTCACAGACTACCTCTGTCCCCATAGATTCTTTTTAATTGCTTTATCATAAAGTGATAAACCAAGATTTAAAAAAGAGAAGCATATTCAATTGCAATGCTGACTTAAAAAGCACTGAAAACGCTTAATAAGGACAAAAAAGATTTTTGTATTAATAAAATAAAAATTTACTTTAAATGGTTTATTTTATATCATAATTATTTTAATAGTTTTTGTTCATATTTTGTTTATATGCCTATGTATTACACACTTATAATTAATTAATTTTATTTATAATTATCTCCACATTTTAATTTCTTCATGTTTTATCAGGTACAAAATATAATTAGTACAACAGCATATGTATATAATATATATCTAGACACACGTATCAGTAAGTATGTCTAAAAAGTTGATGGGATGTGTGTTCAAAAAAGGTTAAACAAAAGGAGTAAAGTGATATACGGGCAAGTCAACAAGCATTTGTGAAACACCTACTATGTGCTGGGCACTTTACTAAGTACCGAGAATACAAAGAAAAGAAAGAAACAGTCTCTGTTCTCCAGGTCACATTCTAATGGGGGAGATGGCAAGCAAACAGCTGTGTAGAAACAAGATCCGTATGTACAAGATAAATCGGAGGCAATCACAGAAAGGAAGCGTTGGCTTGGGGCTCTGGCCGTTCTTGAAAACAATTTGGAACTACTTCCCCAACTTTACTAAATGGTGCGTAATCTTTGCAAAAACCAGTGCTAGGCTTCAACCACAAAGAGATCAGAGAAAGAAGAAAAGGACTCCCGCGTACAAAAATATCTCTAGCAGTTCTTTTTGTGGCAGCAAAGAACTGGAAACTCGCAACTTGCCCGACAACTGGAGAAAGATTGAATACGACTGTAGAGCACGAAACAACAAAGGGGACCAGAGAAACCTGAGAAGACTTTTAGGAGTTAATGAAGAGTAAAGTAAATAGAACCAGCAGAAGAATTGATACAATAACAACAACATTTTAAAGGCAAATAACTTTGAAGAATTAAGAACTGATCAAGACAATTGAGCCACCACTATTCTAGAGGACCAATGATGAAACATCCACTTCCGGACACAGAAGTGATAGATTAAAAATGCAGAATAAGACACACATATCTACACGGGCAATGTGAGAATTTGTTTTGTCTGACTATATGTATTAGAACGGCTGTTCTTTTCCTTCTCAATGGGGTATGGAAGTGGGTTGGGGGGAAGGAGGTGTTGCAATTCAGCATATCAAAAGAATGTACTGTTTCAAAGATGATTCAAAAAAGTAGAAATTCCCCAAAATGTTTTATATCAATGGCAATATCACTGGAATAACCAGATAGCTTTCAAAAGTGACTGCTCGGAAGGAACCAACACAGTCATGTTTGTCTTAACAAAGATCTTTTTACTACTGCAAAAAGTGCTGCTTTAAATATTTTGTTGTATATAGATAGAGACTTCTCATCAATGACCTCCTTGGGGGACAAGCCTAGAAATGTGGTATCTGGATCAATGAGTACAGACATTTAGTCATTTTATCTGCATAATTACAAACTGCCTTCCAGAATGGCTGTACCGATTTGTAGCTACCCACAACCCCTTCATCACTGAGTATTTCCATCTATGTCAATTTGCAGGGGGTAAGGTAAAACCTCAGAAGTGGTTTAATCTGTGTTTCTTTTATCAGTGATTTGGAGCGTTCCTTTTTATTGCTGTATCAGCTTGCAAATTTTTTTTAGTTTTTATTTAAAAATTTTGAATCTATATTCATTAAGGATATGGGTGTGCAGACTATGTTTCATCCTTCCCTGGTTTAGGTATTAGGACTATATTTGTCTCATAAAAAGAGTTTGGTAGAGTGCTTTCTCAATTTTTGAGAATAACTTATATAGTGCTAGTAATAATTATTCTTTAAAGTTTGATAGAATTATCCTATAAATCTATCAAGCCATGGAGATTCTTCCCTTTGGGGGTTCTTTTATAGCTTCTATTTCAAAATGTTTTACAGCAGCAATTTTTGTAACAGCAAAGAACTGGAAACAAAGTAGATGGACACTGACGGGAGAGTAACTAAATAAATTTTTTATCTGATTTTCCCCATGTATTTTATTACATAGGATGGCTCTCTGTTATGGCGTAAGGGTGGTAGTAATGGAGGAAATATTGGTCATAAAAAGATGAAAAAAAAGTCAATTTAGTGCTTCTGAGGGATGAGGAGGGAAGGACATCTTGCTTTTCCTCCAGTATCTTACTCTCTCATCAAATATGGTCCATCTTTCAGAAGCATCCTGATGGGGGGGGGGGGCAGAAAGGAAAGAAAAAAGGTGACACCTGCCCCAACCATGCCATTCAGGCTCTTCCTTGAACGCAGCAAGAAAGAGGCTAGTACAGCCTATCCCAGGTACTGCATGCCTTCGGGGGGGGGGGGGCGGCGGCGGCGGAATTTTAGAACTCAAAATCTTATAAAAGGACCATGCTGAAAACTAAAAGTAAATAAATAGACAAATGAAGGAAAGAATGTTTTAAAAAAAGAAAAAGACTGACTCAATCTTTCATTTTCTTTTTGCTGTTGGGAAGTCAGTAATAAGGCAAAAATCACTGACTATAGAAGAGTGAGGTACTGGGGTCCTTGTCCCCAACTTATATAAAACCTTCATAGGAAGCAAAACATATTTAGAGAGTACTTTATGAAATGTACTACACCACTTCATGGATTATATCTAAGGAATCATTAGGAAAATATGCAATCTATATTTTACAGATAAAAGGTTCAATCTGCTTTAACACTAGGGAAAGAAGTAAAAAATCTTCAAGCCAACCAACCATTACCTAAAAGCTCAAACAGGGTGTTTACCCCCTTACTGTGGTGTATTCTAGGTGCTTTTCATACCAGCAGATAAAAACTCATTTTGGGGGAAGAGATAAGACCAAACAAATCATTTTGGGGAGCTCTCAAGTGAGTTACTGGCTTCCCATATTGCCTGATCCAACTTCACAATCCACAGTAGAGAAGACAAAATGAAGACAGACCCCAATCTTACCATATTTCTTTCTCAAAGGCAATCTATTTTCCCTGGCTGTCCATCCCTTATTTGCGCTGAGGAAGAGGTGCTCCCTCTCGCACTTCACCAAGCCCTTGCAGGGTATGTTAAAAAAAAAATTTTAAATAAATTCACTCCTTAAGCAGGTCAAAGGAATTCTGAATTAGAAGAAAAATACACGAAGTTTCTTCTACATAGTAACCTCTTATTTATCTGGAATTCAAATAAGAAGAAATCTCTTTAAACTTGAATTCTTTAAACTTGCATTTCACAACCATTCTAAAGAAATGGTAACTGATGGGACTGAATAAATACAAAGGGATTTTTCCTAAAAAGTAGTAGTAACATTATTAAATCACAGCAGCACTTTCCTAGCTCAGTAGCAGAAAGAAGCGACAGCAGTTGTTTCTGTTTTGGCCAGAAAGACCTGAGGGTCTTCCCCTTTCTGCCTCATTTTCTTACCTAGCCTTAATCACTGAATGGGCTTTGCCTCAGTCAAACTGAGAGCTGTTAAAGACCTCAACTTAAAAGGCCAAAGTCCCCCTACCGAAACCTGAGTCATTTCCAGTCGTCCTGATCTACATCTCACCACTGGACCCAGATGGCTCCGGAGGAGAAAGCGAGGCTGGTGACCCGGCACAGCCCTTCCTCACTTACACCCAATTCACTCGCATGTCACGGCATCGGCTCCCTGATGTCCTGGTCCTCCTGGAGGACAAAGGACAAACAACAACAGCAGAAGAGAGCTTAGATTCAAAGACAGCACTGATTTCCTCTCTCTCAGAGTAACAGTCACATGTGTGTTCACTTAGCTGTGCCCCAAGAAAGCACTTTCCCTAACGTACGCTGCCGTCTACTACAAATGCAGGGGGATGGAAGACGAAAGGCAAAGAGTCGGGAATCAGGAAGCAGCTGGG